TGGCCCTGCACTGGGAGGAGACGCTGGCACTGCCGGCTGCCCTCCCCCAAGGCCCCTTCCCTCCAGCCAGGAGAGGAGGGGCCGATGAGGTGCCCAGGCTGGGGGTGGAGCTCGGATCCAGCACCCCTTCAGCCCCCAGCCCCCAGGGAGTGTCTCCCCCTCATTAGGGGGCGCCCCGGGCGAAGTCCCTGGGCTGTCTGGAGCGAGGCAGGCTCCCGGGGAACTCGGAGCTCCAGCGCAGAGCAGCACTTAGGCATGCCAGTCTCTCAGGAGGCATCTCCATGGCGCAGTGGGCCAGGGTGGGGCAGGGACCCCCCAGAGGCCCGCCTCCCAAGGGACCTCAGACTGTGCTGGGCCTGGGCATCCTGGGGACCTGCTCCACGGGGCAGGTGGGGTCGTGGCCCGCACCGGCTGGCAGTCATGGGTGTAGGAAAGGTGACCTTCACCTCTGCACTCCCACCCCCAGGACCCCCTGGCCAGCACCCAGCAAGGACCCAGCCCTCTCCTCTGCATCTCCTCACGAAGTCGTGGACAGGCTCGGCCCCTCAGGGCCCTGGGGCCAAAGGAAGGACTGGGCCACAGCTGGCTTAGAGCTGGTTCTGAAAATGGGTCCCTCAGTCACCCCAGGAGCAGGGGGACTGACCAGGACCTTCTATATCTCCACGCACACACAGGGCAGAGCCGACCCTACCCCGTGGGGAGGGGACCCCAGTGGGCTGCCCTTCCAGCCCCAGCGCAGGCTCAGGGCTGCGAGAGAGCCGTCAGGAAGGTCACCCTTGACCCCCTCGCAGCCATAACTGGGTGGTCCTCAAGCCCAGTCCCCTCTCTTCACCCTGTCCCTCAGCTGCCAGCTACCAGCTATCCCATGCCCTTCCCCACCCCAGGCTGCCTGCCAGCTTGGCAGGGCACAGAGGGGCAGGCAGGGCAGGCAGGGACTGCCCACTGTATGGGCTGCAATGGGGAAGGAGGGTTAGGAGTCAGAGGCCTCTGAACCCAGATCCTGGGGCGGGTGGCTCTCTGGGCCCTGATGGCCTGGCCTGTGAAACGGGAGCATTGTGGCGGGGCCTGGAGATGTACAGGTGTGTGCGCTGAGTGCTTGAACCCGGTCCTGACTTGAATCGGGTGCTTCCCCAGTGCCAGCCGTGACGCCGTGCCTCTCCTGCCGTAGCGGGTGTGCCGGGACCACCCCAGGTGTTCTCTGCTCCCTTGGGACTGCAGGGGCAGCGGTTAGCCTCAAGAGGCTTTTGCTTTGGGCACCCAAGGCCAGTAGTCCGGCCCTGGCACCTGGAGAGCTGATGCGGGGTGGGAGTAGGCTGGGCCTGGGACCCTGGAGGGACTTGGCCTTTGGACCCTGGCTCCGGCCCCTCCCCTTCCTTGCCCGCCTTGAGGTGAGGTGCTGAGGTCAGAGCACAGGCAGGCTTGTTAGCTCCTGGGGGTGACACCAGAGTGACCGTGGCTTTTCCGGGGATCTTTGCAGATGGTGGTGCTCATGGACCCGATGGAGGACCCGGATGACATCCTGCGGGCACACCGCTCCCGGGAGAAGTCCTACCTGTTCGACGTGGCCTTTGACTTCACTGCCACCCAGGTGAGGCCTCAGCCTCCCTCCATCATGTGCTCAAGGGTCAGCCCTCGAGCTCTCCCACTGCATGTGCCCGTGCAGTGGCCCCCAGCCTCCTGCATGGACACCCCGTGGGCTCTTTCACGCCACCCACGTGGGCACCCACATGGGACACACCACGGCAGGCGTCATCAGAACCAGAGGACAGCTCGGAGCCATCTGGGCAGCAGGGCTGGGAGGGGTATCTCGGGGAAGGCGACACCCTCCAGGGACCCTCCTTGCCTGTCTAGCGGCTGCTCCACAGAGCAGATGTGGTGCGTCCCCAGGGCTGGGGCTGGGAGGTGGCTATGGGAGAGGCATCTCAGGTTTCCAGGCTCCTTTTAGGCTGGCACCTCCCTGAGCCGTGCCGGCAGTCACCCCTGCCCTGCTCCCCACCCCAATACTCTCCGGTGGGGGTCGATGTGCCCTGCCCTGCCTGTGGCCGGGCCGGACGGTCTCCTCCTCCCGCAGGAGATGGTGTACCAGGCCACCACCAAGGGCCTCATCGGAGGCGTCATCTCAGGCTACAATGCTACCGTCTTTGCCTACGGCCCCACTGGTGAGGACCGCCCTGCCCCTGTGCCTCTGGGAGGGCCCGGCCTCGCCCTGCCCTCCATTGGAGGAGAACCTACTGGCCTCATTGAGGCAGGACCCAAGGATGTGGTCTCCTAAGCCCCTCCCAGCCTCCTCCCACCCCAGGGCCCTGACCTGAGCCAGGCATCCTCCCGCCCGCACCACCTCCCGCCCATCTGGGAGGCCCCAGAAGATGACTGCCCCGAGGTTGCCAGGAGCACCTGCTCAGCAGGGCGTCTGCTGGCCTGCCCCGACCACCCACGGTCACCCGCGTCTGCCCAGGTTGTGGGAAAACCTATACCATGCTGGGCACGGACCGCGAGCCCGGCATCTACGTCCGCACCCTCAATGACCTCTTCCGTGCCATCGAGGAGACCAGCAATGACATGGAGTATGAGGTGTCCATGTCCTACCTGGAGGTGAGCCCCCCTCAAACACAGGGCGGGGCTGGCCCCCTCCCTGGGGCTGCTTGCCCAGCAGTTTCTGCGTCCCTGTTACACGTGTATTGTTAGCCCCACTTTACAAACATCGGAGGCTCATCAGAGAGGCTAGGCAACTACACCAACATCACACAGGAAGTGAGGCAATGGGGATCCAAACTCGCCACCTCGGCTGGAAAGCCGAGCCCTGCCCATCACGCCGCACTCCACAGTGGCCCTGCCAGTGAGCACAGAGGCCACCGCCCCTCCCAGAGAGCTCGCACCTCACCCCAGTCCCATTCCTCATGGCAGGCCCGGTCAGCCCTGGCACTGCATGCTGCCGTGCAGATGGAAACTGCGTGTGCATGGTCAGGCTCGAACCCAGGCCTTCCCTGTGAGCCGTAGCTCCCAACAGCCATTGGCAGGAGAATTGCCCCCCCAGGGGGTGGCGATAGGACAGCGGGCTGGGAGCACACCGGCTGGAGAGCCGGCAGGCTGGACTGCATCGGGCCTCTCCAGGAGCTGACAATCTCCTGGGCAACAGCTCGGGAAGAGCAGTGAGGTGGGGTGGCCAGCACCTCAGCCAGAATTCATGGTGTGTGTGTGTGTGTGTGTGCTGGGGACATCCTGGGAGAAGTTGCCTAGCATCAAGCAGGGCACCCCACTTGGTCAGGCATTCCGGCCATTGGTCAGGTCCTTGGGCCTATCTTCTGAGGGAGTCACCCTGAATTTGAAGCCTCCTATGGGCCTGCATTGGCCAGCGGGTGGCTCCCCCTGAGTGCAGAGGAAGGAAGGGGCCTCTCCCTAATCCGAGTTCCCCCAGGGGAGCCTCCTGTCCTCTTCCTGCTCAGGACAGAGGGAACCTGGCCCTTGCCTGGACCTCCTGCCCTCAGCTTCCCATCAAGGCCTGCCTCCCCTGCCCCCCATCAGATCTACAATGAGATGATCCGGGATTCCGCTCTGGGGTACCTGGAGCTGAGAGAGGACTCCAGAGGTGTGATCCAGGTGGCTGGAATCACGGAGGTCTCCACCATCAATGCCAAGGAGGTGAGTCTATGTGGCCAGCCAGAGCCCGTGGAGAGGATCCTGACTACCTGAGGGGCAGGAGGGGCCACGCTCCTGCTCTGTGTCCCAGCCGTGCTGGCCTAGGGGGTGACCAGGCAACACAGCTCCCCCAGTACCCGGGGACCCTGGCCTCCAGAGAGCGGAGAGCAGTCTGCCCAGACGGGGCCTCCCCTGCCACCCCCAGGAGCCCTCTGTCTGGACACCCCACAGGGCCCTAGAGCTGCCCCCCGCCCTCCTGCCCAGATCATGCAGCTGCTGATGAAGGGGAACCGGCAGAGGACCCAGGAGCCCACGGCCGCCAACCAGACGTCCTCCCGCTCCCATGCGGTGCTCCAGGTGGCCGTGCGCCAGCGCAGCAGGCTCAAGGACACCCTGCAGGAGGTGCGGCAGGGCCGCCTGTTCATGATCGACCTGGCGGGCTCGGAGCGCGCGTCCCAGGTGAGGGGCCCCTGGGACCTGGGGGAACAGCAGGGCTGTCCCCCAGGGGAGGACGCTCCCAGGGCGGGGGTAGAGGCTGGCAGGG